TTATCTGGGTGATTTGGAATGAATGTCACAAATTTACTGATTTTGATACTACCAAGGATCAATGGCTACTTTTTTTGGTTCCACTATTCTCGGTCACAACCTAGATAGTTTAGAGGATTTGGGATCTATTGTTGATATTATTACAAATCTGTAAATTCTTCTCTTTATCTTTGTACATGGGTTCGCCCCCTTGGCACTTTACCTTTAATATATTTTCTCCTACTTTTATCTCAGAAAAAATAAAATAAAATAAAAAAAGCTCCAGTCTGTCAAAAGTTAACAGTGTTTAGAGGAACAACCATTCATCAAATGCTTAACAACTAATGAGATGTGACACGTCCGCCGGCCTAATCGAGCTTTGTCTCTAGACATCTCCATTATGTGTTACAATAGAGAGGAGACTCATTCCCATGCGGCATTGAAGTTGTGGATGAGATAATTAACCGATTTGGTTTAAGTACAATCAAGAATTTTATGCGATTGTGTTTTCAGGTTGTAGGGATAAAGAAGGCGGCGAAGCTACTGAGGGAAAGGAAACTTTTTTGTTGGCTTGTAGAGTATATGGCTCACGGGAAACTATAGGATATTTCAAGATTGCTGCTCGTCATTTTTTACACTGTGGGAGAAAGGGTACCTTATAGGCCAAAGCTCATGGGAATGATTCTGACTTAGTTCAAGACTTAGCTCATGGCTCACGGGAAACTATAGGATATTTCAAGATTGCTGCTCGTCATTTTTTACACTGTGGGAGAAAGGGTACCTTATAGGCCAAAGCTCATGGGAATTATTGCTTTTTCCTTTTGCATTTACTAAAGAGGATGTCTGTTTCTCTGTATATGTCTTATTTCCTCTTGATTCCTAACGATATTTCTTTTTCTATGAATAAAAAGAGTAATGAGTGAAGTTGAGTAAAGTAAAATTTTAATGTTGGGAGTTAATAATAATTCTTTTTTGAAATAAAATTGGGAGTTAATAATAAAAAGAGCAATGCAAGATTGAACTCTACTCTTGTTTGATTTGATGGAGTAGAGTCAAATACTTACTAATGTGACAGAAGTTAAAATATGACAGAAGTTAAAATATAGTTATGCTATATATAGAATTGGGTATTTACAAAATTTAATCAAAAACATATTAATAAGACTCTCTCAACCCCTTATTCGAAGGGTTAAATAAGTGGACTTTAGCGGGATTACGAGGAGTTGCAAAACCCTTTGTTTCCTCTGACTTACTCGCATTTACTCTCTTTAAGAACTCACAAATATCATTTATCAGGCACTATACTCTACCTTATCTCATTTACCATCAAAATAATACTCTCAAACAAGCTGTTAAAAAAATTGGTTAAACTAAGAGATTTTAGTTATCACACCTAAGAATCAGGATTGAAAATAACAGAAAAGTAACAAGGAATCACACAAAAGATCCCTTAACCATTACATGTAAGGTTTTGGTTGCATCATGTAAACATGCGATTGCATCACAAGGTCATGATTGCATCACAGAGTCATACAGAAAATGCATCTTCAGAAAATTCTGTAAATATATTTATTGACTAATTGATGTCTGATGAGAGAGGTTAAAAAAGTATTCACAGGGCCTTTAACTTAATTCTAATCTAACTGCAACTGGAATTTTAACCGGAAACTTAAAAAATTGAAAGCATAAATAAAATCATACATACTTAAACTTAATATACACTCCTAAATATTTCACAGAATAGAAGTATTCCGATGGTAAGATACATCAGTAACCAACAGGTAGCCCTTATTCCTCCGTTTTGACCCAAGAAAAAGTCTACATTTAGAAAGAAAGTTTCAATTTTTAAGATAAAAGAAAAAATACAAAGGGAGAGAAAGAAATAAATACAAAAGTCTCAAGAAATTGTCATCCAAAGGATCATTTTCAGAAAGATGCACACTCCCCCAAGAA